AGCATGTTAATGTTAATCCAATACAGCTCTACTACTACAATACAGGTTGCTTTTTCTTTGCACAGCATGAAAGAAAGGCGAAAGGAATGGGCTGTGATTTTAGTATTTTTAAGCAGAGGCCAATCATTTGTACGGCCCTCGGAGGATGTTCAAAAAATTGAAATGGCCCTTGAGAGGAAAAAGGTTCCCCACCCCTGCTATAGACAAATAAAAGTGCTGTTTTTGTGTCCATTTTGATGAGATTCTTGAAGCAAAGAACTGGATAATCAAGATGGGTATGACATTGATGTAAGACTATGAAAATGTACTTGAAGTAACATTCAGAGTATTGAAAAATACACTTGCTGAAACATCGTAGTGACAAAGCCTCTCGTCAAACCATCTCAGAAGTTCTCTTCCCCTGTCCCTGATACTTAACCACTCCTAAGTCCTGTCCCTGTCCTGCTATTGTCTGAAGAAGAGGAGGTTGTTTTTATGGTCATATCTGAGACACAGCTGTGGTTAAAGCCCAAGCACATAGAAATGGCCTGCCTTATCATACCGCTAGGAACAGCTCTCCCAAGGCTGTTTGCCTGTGCTTGGAAAAAGGAGTGAGAAGAGAGGTAAAAGGTCAAATGAAGGCCCTTGTGAATAATTCCCTGCGACTTAAGCACTTTAAATAATAATCATATAAATGTCTAAATTACATGGTTGAATTTCTATTGGATTTTTGTCTTTTTTTCGTCTTTCAGGTGGAGAGCTATGTTTCACATATTCGTGGGCTGCTGGAAGAGCGCGAGTCTCTTACTTCGGAGTATGAGAGAGACAATGAACAGCTGCGCGAAGAGCTACACCAAATCAGACAACAACAGGGTGAGTTCAGTTTAAACATAGTGTAATGTTGGCATAGCCTGGCTCACCTTACCCCTGAGCAGTATATTTCTAAAACACCATAGCGTTTTTTTTTGTATTTGCAAAGAATGCTTTAGAATCTTTCGTGTTAATATATCAAGGCATACGTTTCTACAAGTTATGTTCACAATCGGTCTGCTTCCCTATAGAAGTTGTCATGCAGCATTTTGTTGTGATTTTGACAGTCCATTAAAATCTCCCATTTCTTCCAGAGGGTCAGAGCAAGGAGCTTGCAGAGATGTTGGCTCAGGAGGAACTCGGGGAGATGGGCTTGAGCAGCCCCAGTGAGCAGGTGGCGTACCTGCTGGTGGAGAGGGCCACACTACTGGAGAGGCTGGAGGCTGCTGAGAGGAGACTGGAAAGTCAGAGCCTCACCGGCAGCTTCATGGAAGTCCAGCACCAGGTACAGGACTGGCTTTTGTAAGGGGGAGGACTGTTTGAATTTCTAAAGGACTGTTAACATTTCGTCAACATGTAGGAAAGGAACCATACTAGTCCAATTGGAAAATACTGTAAATGTAAGGCATCCTGCGAAAGTGCACAGCCTCTATTATCTGAAATAATCAGTCTTCAGTCATATTGACATGTTTAGTAAACCTATCCCTAGACTTGCTTGTTTTAGTGGAATGTCATATTTGACTATCCAAGGCAAATACAGAGACCGTATAAACGTGGATGAATGATATTATCGTCTCTCTGACTGGACAGGAGCATATTCGCCAGACGATGGGGGAGGAGCTAAGGCAGCACAGGGTGGATATGCAGAAAGCCGTAGATAACATGACAAAGGTGAGGTCATTGTGCTTGTTGCTGAGTTACAGATCTGTATAAGATCAGGTTAAATTAAGTCTGAGATCAAAAAAGAACATCCCTTATATTTCCAGTTAAAGGGACGGTTCATACAGAGTGGTCTCTTTCCAGAAATCATGAATGGTTAAATATAGTAACTACTTTCTTGAGTAAGCTTAATACAATGTAGTTCCTTTATATTCAAGAGAAGGCAGACGATCGTTATGTTCAGCACTGGGCATCGTACATCCCAACAATCTAGACTGCAGGATATAGGAAGAATGTGTACTTTTGATAATTTGGGTGAACTTATTTGGGTATTTTAAGGACTTTTACTATTTCTATTTTATTTGTATTTACTTGCACATCTCGAAACATTCCCTTGCACTATTTTATCTGTTTTATTTGTTCTATGTCATATATATATATATATATATATATTTATAAAACGGACAAGTCAAATCAAGCAATCTGATTGGTTCTTAGCCGTGATATACTGAGCGTATACCACGGGTAGAATTGTAAGTTACTTTTCACAACAAGTCAGTATCCCTCCGCGTCTGAGAAAAACAGTATACCGTTGGGCTGAAAAGCAAACTGCCTGCAGTTTGCTTTTCATACTGGAACAAGAAAGCAGCGGAGAAGTAACGGGGCAGAAGCCCTCCTTTTTGACGCAGCGGTCCAGACATAGACATCAAACGGCAAAACATATTCAGTGTGCAGTTCCTTTGGCATTAGGGCAGGGATATCTAGATACTTTTGAAGGTTTAACATAATTAATTGTGCTACTTTTAAAGCAAGCAACG